AGCAGTCTCCTTCCTGAGTAGGGATAGTTGGACAATGGCATCTCTCCTAATTCTTTTACCCCAAGGAAACCATTTCTCCAACTATATTCAATTCTAAGACATGCAAATCCTGTGCTTGATGCACAACTGGGTTTGCTACTGCTGCTGCTCAACAGTGAGTGGTGTGGAGTGGAGTGGTAACTATCTTTGGAAAGGTTGTTGTAAAGAATGAGAAGCAGATTTGTACCCATTTGACTGGGTAAAGAAGCTTATGGAGGGATCCTAAAGGGTAATTTGGACTCCAGGACTGCCAAGATCAAACACGTTGTTTAATTCTTTATAAGGTGCTGAAATAATTGGTACCATGCAATCAAAAATATATGACATTTTCTGTCATGGAGCCAGCAGAAAAAAAGAAAACCAGCTTTGTCTTCCTCCTTTTTCTTTCCTTCTCTCTCACTTCCTCATTCTAATAAATTTTTTACTTTTGTTCCATATACTTTTCTCCAGAATATTTCATTAAAAATACCTTCCTGCTTTGATGCCAACACTCTATCATAGATAATATGTCCCAAAAATGCCTTTTTTGGGACATTCTCATTTGGTCTGGTGATGTTCAACCACTTGTGCCCTATAATGATTAGCATATTACAATAACTTAAGTTTTTTCCCTTTTCATTTATTTCTTTCTGAAGTCTCTAAAGAAAGGATTATAAAGACTACTCTTTACCATCTTCCGTAAAACTGGGGACCAAAAAATTAATGGGTAATAAAGTAGGAAAGGCCTATGCACTGATGTTTAATAGCTTGAGACTACTGACTGCAGTTAAGCTTTTCCTAGTTTAAATCTGAGCAAGTGTGAAGAAAAGCAAGCACAAGGAAGGGGCTGCATCTCAAATAATAAGCAAATCTGGATGTGGAAGCAAAACCAAAGACAGGAATAAAGGGTGCTGTGAAGCCACATGGACAAAATATTACCCCTTCTGGTTTGCAGCATTTGGAGGCATTAGCTAAGTTTTATGCAGTTCTCTGAGGTCTGTGAATGTTCTCTCAAGGTTCTGCAGTGTAATTTTCTTGTAGCACTGAGGTTCCTTATAAGAAAATAATATGTAGGGGTCCAGTCTTGTCAGAGCTACTATTTATGTCTATTCTGTATTCGTAGATTCAAGAACATTCAATTAAAGCAATGTGCAAGAATAAGAGATGTGCAGTTTTTTGTGGTGATAGATAAAAAAATTATGTCTTGATGAATGTCAACTTCTTTGAGGGAGCGAACCTTTTATGTTAAGGTCAGGAATTCATGATAGAAATGGAGATCCACACCAAAATGTATAATGCAGAGAAAAGAAAAGAATCTCTGTAGGAGAGAAAAGCTTCCATAGTGTGTGGAAGAAGCCATATTTAGACTATTATGGGAAAACTGGATGCTTATTAAATATATTAATTGCAGTATGAAAGAGCAGCTGAACATAAGTTACATAGCTACTGCAAGAGTTCATACTATAAACTAGTTCTTTATTTGGACTAGTGACTCCAACATGCTCACCAGTGTTTGAAATAGAAGATGCTCTTGTAAAATCTTGTGTCTGAGGAGGTTATAAGAGCAAAGCTACAAAAACCTGACATACGGCAAAAAAGGAGCTTCGTAGGCTGGATCATGAAGCCTCATGTCTTGGAGTGAGAGGTGACTGTTAGATAAGTTAGAGAAGCCTGACAGAAGGTCATGCTGCAGAACAAAACAAACTGCAGATCTCAGGACTTGCAGTGCAGTGTGGTGGAACTAAAGGGAATTGCTCAGATCTCAGTGATTCAGGATCCAGCAGTGTCAGCTGTGCCAGTCAGATGGTGTCAGCTCCATCCCCTGAGGCCAGCATGTGTCTGACATCCCATTCTGTTTCAAGCAAATCTAATTAATTCACTAATAAGTGAACATTTTGGTTGAAATAGATATTCCCTGGGTATAATAAAAAGGCAAAGAAAGTGAAGTTAGCTGTATCATGAAGGATGTAGAGGTCTACACACACTATGTTGTCTATCCCACTATGCTGTGTTGCATCAGAATAAAACTTTCTTATGCAATGAAATCCAAACTTAGTTGTTATCATGACAATACCCATGTGACCACTTATTTAAAAAGCTGTAATTTCTATTTTCCAAGTGTTGACTCTGATTTAGAAGTAGATCTGATAATCAATGCTGTATTCCTGCAGGAATTCTTAGAATGGCATTATATATATATATATATATATGCACATAAAAACTCTTCATGGCTTCTGGGAACCATAGGTAAAAAACCTTTTCCAAAATTCCTTTCATGATCCTTCTGATCTTCTTTTTGACCAGGCTTTATCAGTACATGAATGAAAAAAAAATACCAAGAGCTCAGCCACGAGAAGTGTATACAAGCTACCAACAGTTTTCGAGGCACTGGTTATATTTTTCAAAATACTGCCATTGAATACTTTAACTGTCATGTATGATTACTGAAGAAATTGATTTTCTCTACCATGTTCAAGAAGTAGATATGTAAATTTGTAAAGCAAATGCTCCCCAGCTGCCCAAGAATAACAGGACATGAAATCCTTCACTCCATCTGGAAAAACAAGTGCTGATGAGGATCTGTATTATCTATGTAAGTCAACAAAAATACCTGCTTCTGAGTTCAGATGCAAGGGCTCTGGATCTTCTCCTGAGAGCTGCTGCACACCCCCCATGTAAGCAAACAGTATTGCCTCCTCGGTTTGTACACAGCAGATATTGGCACTTTATCCTTGGAGCGAACAGCAAATTGCAAATTGTACCCAGCCACTTAGCATTTCCAGTACATCTTGGCCTATGTTTTCACTTAGCAAAACAATGAGATATCCATCTCCAAAGTTCTCTTGTCTTTCCTGCAGGAGCGACAATCCTGTGGGTGTTTGAGACTGTGGTTTAGATGGCAGTGAGTGTACAAGGCAGTGTTCAGTCAGGCCACTGTTACTTTGCGCTGGTTCTCAGTGAGGGTAAAGAAGACCTGGTTGGGCCTGTGATTCTCCTTAACACAAGGCACTCAGAAACACGCAAGAGCCTGTTTGCTGGACGTAAAGGATGCAGAGCATAGCTTGTAAATGGGTGGGACTTGCCATGGCTGTTGCAGTTTAAACTCCAACCCACTGACTGAGCTCTGAGAGAGGAAGGGTAGGTTTTAGATCAGATTTAGATAGGCAGACCCCCCAAAAATATATCCTTTAAAAACTGATATAAAACCCCAGTGCCTTGGAACTGATGTTACTCGTGATAATATAAATCTCAAGTAACTGTGTCACTGAGACTAGAATTTGCCCCCAAAATGGCAAATCTAGAGAATATTAACTGAGGCTGCTGCTACTTATTTTCTGCTCTGTCTGTCCCTTTCTCTTTTACCTATATACACACAAAAACTCTCTCTTATTCTGTCTTGTTTTCCTTCTCTCTTTCTGCTGTTTCCGCCCCTCTCTTCTCTGGGGAGCTGTAAAGGTGTTACAGGCATCCTCACAACAATGTTGTCATGAGGACCTTCTGCAGGAAATGATTCTGTAAGATTAATGTGGAAAATCACTGAAGGAAACTTGAAATGTGGTACTACTGCATCATGGCACAGGTCAAGGAAGACTTCTGTAAAGACTTGTATCAATATATGCGTATCAGTTTAGGACAAGTATAACATATGCACCAGTGGTGGTTAGTGAGAGTACTTGGTGCCAGAATTATTTCTAAGAAATCTGGCTCCATCAATTGCTGATATCCCAAACTCCTTTACCATTCCTTTGGGTATTAAGAACAGATTCTTTCTGGGCCAGAGGATCACATGAGAAGGGGATGTGTGTCTGAAATTAAAAAAGACTCCATCGTTGAGAAATGTTTGGAAAAGTATCATTCAGATAGGTTGGTTTGTTTGTTTGTGGTTATTTTTATTATTTTTTGAGCTGCTTGATAATGCTTGTTTTAAAGCACAGTTATCTATACTAGTTAGCATGTTCATACTTTCACATGTGTGAGTATTCTTTGTATGGACAGGGAGGAGGACAGCAGAAAATAAAAAAACAGTAAGCAATTCTCTTCCTATAAAAACAAGCACATTTTGCATTTTCTTTATTCTCCAATCCAAAGGACTGGATCCTCTGTTTGCAATTTAAGAGGAGGTCACCATCCCAGCTGAATCCTGTTTTTCGACAACATCCTCAGCCAACTTGGTTGACTAAGCAAAGATCTGCTTATGTGAGCATCAAAGAAACAAAGATCGGGGAAGGTGAGTCTAGGCAGCTGGCTGAAGGCAGGATCCCATTTTATTATGTGTCCTGAAGCTTTCCAAAATCTTTGTGCAACTGAGCACACCAGCAGCTGCATCATAGCAAAAGACGTTCCGGAAGTGATAACAGAGCTCAACAGTGTAAAAAAAAAAATCTTTATTGTCTTTAAAATATGTGTATTTTTATAGAATATTTGTAATATAACATCCAAAGATTTGGTTTTTTAAATACCAACAATATTATCTTCATGAGATATAACTATGACATATAATACAACTGCCTCATACAGAAAGGATTTTCCTTCAGTTTCTTTCCTTACAACTCACTGCTTACATAAAGGATCACAGATCATTTTTTGCCTATACTTGAGAAGCGTGGGCTTGTGAGCACTTCTCACATCTCTCTGTCATTTTGATCTTTCCTCCGTCCCCTTGCCCCCAAATTTCTGGTAGAGCAGTACAAGCAAAGATTCAGCAGTCCTTGACCCATACCCTTTGAATATCATTGTACATAAACTAAACAAATCTTACTCAACTATCTCTAAGGTATGAACATAGATGTCTTTGGATCAGATGTTAATGGAGGATAAACTAATGCTAGGAGGAAGAGATAGCATCCATTGTGCATCTGTTCTTTTGGTGCTGGTGGATTCTGGGGGTGGAAACAGGGAAATGTGTGGAAATACATGCAGGTGTGTATATGGATCTCTGTGGATGCATGTAGGTGCGTCTGGACCTGAGTCCCAAAGGGCAGGATAGGGAAGAGGAGCGGACGTTGTCTAACAGAAAAGGTTACTGTGGATCTGCCCAGCTCTGGAGGAGGTTTGAAACTACAGAGGAAGGACGTGGATCACCACTTACTTCTCACATACTCTTCTTAGAAATGGAGGGTAAACAGGCAAGGGGGAATATATAGAGCAGAAGAGAGGGCCTGCACCTGTGTGAAAGACTGCCTGGGGTGTAGAAAATCAATGGCCTCATTTGATTTTTATTTTAAGCTTGTCATTGGGATAACTTTGTTTCACACAGGGTCTGGCCAATTTTTTCACTTTTTCTCTCCCTCTCCAGATAGAGCAGGCTCAAGATTTCATTTTTATGTGTCTTCACAATATTTTTTGATGATACAGTTTAGTCTAATTATACAGCAGACTTGTTTATAATGTAATTTGATTGTTCCGAGGATTTGGGATTCCTCTCCCAGCCTTGTCGAATTCGTGTGAGAGGTTTGTCCACACAAGGAAATATCAGCACAAATTTGACTACCAGTACAGCACATGGCACAACGAGGGAGAGCATATAGATGTTTGGAAGATACCATTTGTATGCTGATGGGCTCAGGAACCATTTTCCGCCGTAAACCAGCGTGTGCGCAGTACACAAAATCAGTGTCAGATATCCCAGTTTGGACTAGGAGAAAATGAAGGAAAGAAACAAAGAAAGAAAGAAAAAAGTGGAGGTTAAAACAGAAAATTAAAACAGAATAAATGCAATTTTAAGAACACAGTAAGATTTGTGGCATGTGCCAATTTGGGGACTGGTGAAATGAAACTGTTTTATATAAAGGCTCTTATTGTTTTTAATAAAGATTAATTCAAATGGATATTGGGGAAACACAGTTGGTTTTTCTTCTCTGTCAATATCCATGATAATTTTTCCTGGCTCACGCATATTCCCTAGTAGCTGTCATATTTGTGAAAAAGCAGAGAAAGTGCTGACATTCAGTGGAGAGATCCAAGATTTTTTATGCTCTAGTGCCATCCATCCAGAAGTACCATACTGTGCAAGTTTTTCGCCTTGATAAAACATTCATTGACAGTAATTTCTCCTTCTCTTGCCCCCCTTCCCATCCAGCTCAGCTCCTGCAGAGGCATGGCAGCTTGCACCAAACTTCCTCTTAAAAGGGGGCTGAGATTATAGTGAGGGCAGCCTGTTTATAGGCACATCAGTTTTTACACTCTGCAGAAATTGCAGATTCTCTTTAGATGCTTGGCATTGAGAAGATTCGAGTTACAAAGTAACTTTTCAAATCCATTGTAACTGAATTCTCATGAACCAACAAAATTATCCCAATAAATGGCTAAATTATTTTGCAACTTAGTGTAATTGTGGAATTTGACATCAGAATCAGCTTCCTGTTTGTCATTTAGGAGCTCACATCTTCCCAACTTTCTCTTGTTTACGTAGTAATCCGAGTTGCACCATAAGCAGCCATCAGAACAGCTGTGGGTTTCTACAGTTAAGCTCTATTACTGTGTAGATTTTTTTTTCACTATCTGATCATGGAGAATACACACATCACATTTGGAGATATTAATGGAGGAAAGACATAAGTCTCTAGTAAACTGCCTGTGGCCATAGTTTATAAGGGAAGAAGTTTTTTCTAGAAGTCATTTTCTTACCTGTACAAATCGAAATTCTCGCCAGTTGACACTGTTGCTGACTGAAGGCAAGGAGGTTATTCCCACAAGAACAAAGAAAAAAAACCCTATAATTCCCAAAGCCAAGTAAGAGTCACTAAGCCAGGCATTAGTCGTGTCGAGTGGTTCTGTTTTATTGTTCAGTGCCTGAAGAAAAGAAGACCAGGTATATTTTCATGATAGCAGTTTTAGGATCAATAAGCAGAAAAAACCCATCCTTTAAGGTAACTAGGAGATAAATGTTATACATAAACTCTGAAAATCATTGGAGATTTACTTTGAATGCCTGCTCAAGAAGGAGGCATTATATTATGTGTGGTTTCCATGTATCTGTAATTGTGGTACCTGTTTTACATATCTGTTTACCTACCATTGAGGACAGATATGTGATCCTTTCTTGTTAGGTAGAATCAGAAAGTAAAAATATATTCTATTCTTAAAGGTATATGAAGAAATAGGGAAATATGCTTCTTTAAAGTACTCTTTATGTTTACGTTTTCCCTGATTATTTTATTAATATGTCAACTATCTAGAAGGAAGACTGGGGCCAGAAATCCCCTCAGCTCAGCATAATATCAATGATTAAGAGGAGCACAGAAACTAGGAATATGACCCTATTGTAAAGATCATTAGGCTGTCCACATGGATTTCTGAAGCTCAAGATAGATGGTAGTATTTATAACAAGGCCAGAAGAAAGGGAGACCTAGCGCGGGGAACAAAACTCACCTGGGAGATGATTGGTTTGGCGTTTCTCCATTTTACGAAGGAGCGGAGTGGACTAGCAAGAGTGAACACAGCATGCAAAGAGGCAAATGCCAAGGCTATTAGTCCAAGTTGTTTCCTACACAGCATCCATTTGTCCAGCCAGTCTGGAAAACGGCGGTATTTGGTGCCTCTGTATAACTGAATAATTGCAGCAAGTACACCAGGAAGATAAACCAAGCCAAGAAGGATGAGTGCCACTACAGGGCAGATCCGATTTGGAATGGTCATTGCAATAAAAAATGAAAAGTTATTGTGTTCGTATATGTAAGTGTAAATTACATCAAGAGCCAAACAGTAGAAGAAGAAGAATGCAGTTAGGCCAAGGGACAAAAAGATGGGAAACTTCCACATTGGAAAGAGCTGCAGAGGGTAATTTTCTATTTCCTGAGCAGCCAAGAGGGATCCCTGATCAAGTGGAGTGAGACCCAGTGCACGAACAATATTCATCACCATTTCTTTAGCTTCTGTGTCATCTCCACAGACAAACACCTGCAGCCAAAAACAAATAGAAGTTTTATTTTGACAGATTTTCGTGACATTCTCTGCTGCCATGCTGGTCCTGGATATAGACAATGAGCACAAGCTTCCTAGGCTGCTTGCTGACTTCCCTGCTGACCTTAATTAAAACAGGCAAAAAGTAGCCTATAGGTACATTTGGCCAACCGGTCCATGAACTTAGAATATGATTTTTTTCTTTGGGGAAGGAGATTGTTTCAAGTGGCAAAATTTTATATCTGGAAAGAATAATGTATAACATGCTTAGTATAAGCCTTTGCATAGAAGATTTGACCTTTGGTTTAGCCAAAATCATTTATCTGGCAGCAGAAAACAAAGCTAGTAATGGTTTGAGTAGCTGGGTGATTTCATGGATTGTACAAGAGCACTGTCCCTCAAAGTGGCAGAAAATAGGGTAATAATAAATGATTTTTCTTCAAATAAGCTGCCATGTTGCTTCCTATGCCCAGCTCTGTGCTTGCTGGTCTGTGGTTAAGGAGCAGGTTAAAATGGTTTGCGCACTGATGTTGTGTTAAACTTAGGTGGTGATAGATTCTAATTTAGAAAATTTTAGTAATTTTTTCATCTTCTAGCTCATTTCTATTGCTGGCCTATCATATCCCTTGCCTCCCTGGTTTTTCTTTTTTCATTTTGTTCTTGCTTCATTATATTCCTCCTATCTCCTTTCTGTTTAACTTTACAACCCCTATGAACAACTGATGCAACCCTCATGTCCTCCTGATTTGCTGTCTCTCTCTTTGTAGCTCTGCCATCTTTCTTTCCTTGCTTCTCTACCGTCTCTGAACACTGAGTTCAGAGGCAAGCTATTGATATTCCTTGTCATGCCATATTACAAACCCAAAGGAAATTTTAGCTCAAATTATTTTGAAATGAGGGATTATAGAGAAAATACCATTTCAACCCTATCTGATTTGTATGTCCCATGTGTGTTTTGTCTAGCTAATAAGAAGCCATACGATGAATAACTCCATGACAAAGGAAATCCCTGTAGCTCAGACTTACCTGCCGGCTTGCATCCAACGCTCCCGACTGCAAGGCCCAGGCTGACACGGTGTTAAAGGCTTTCACAACCCTGGCGCCTGGCAACAGCTGAGCAAGGTACTCTGCATTGGATTCAGGATACTGGTTTAATTTTAAGTTGTTGCTTATGTCCACCACAACTTTTCCATGGAGAATTTCTGCTAGTGGTGTAAGGAAGTTGTAATGTTGCCTCTGGATTGCTATAATGATGATGGCAGCTTTCTGTGCTGCCTCTGCGTGGCTCAACACCTCTGCATCCTTGGGAATCAGGTTTGATATCTGGGTGCTCCGACTTCCATACACCACGTGGTAGCCACACTGAATCATTTTATGCCCCAGAGCTCGTCCAAAATCTCCAGTTCCAAATATGCACACTGTCTCTCTTTTCTTAGAAGTGTTAGGAGCCAAGGCCATCATGTTGGAAGAATTTGTATTCATCTGTTAAAAAAAAAAAGTAATAGGAACAAACTAAGCAAAACATGAATCTCTTGAAAATGAAAGGCTAGTATCCACTCTGGAAGTACAGCTCTCAGGAATCTGAGAGTTTTCTTACTGCTTAATATGGTTCCTGCACACTCTTCTGAATACACACTCTCAGAAGATTTCTGTACAATTTTTAAAAGAACAGTCTGAATACTCATTTCTCCATCTCTCATATGGCACCCTCTTTTCCATTTATTTTATGGATTTTAACATTCAGCTGAACTGTTGCAGTGTTTCTCTCTCAAAGGGAAAACAGGAGGAAAAGACATTGGAACACAGAGAGTAAGGGTAGCCCATATTTCAGAGTAATTTCTGCTTACTTATGCTATAGAAAAGCATTGAGGAGGAGTGCGTTTCTAATCAGATTAGAACCTGGAAGGTGTTTTTCAGAATACTTGAAGAAGAGATATTATAAAATGTAGCTACAAAACTGTCTGTTGTCCTCAATATTTCCTTAATTCAACTAGTCAGTACCAGTTTGTTTTATTGTTGTTCTGCGGTTTTCTGAAGAACGTTCCATGAAGCATTTAGACAGTGGACTTGGAATATTTCATGTTGAACATAGATTTATATATTACTCATAATAAAATTCTCTTGGAAATTTTTATATATCACAGTACCTGGTAGATTCCAAGTCTTTAATGTATTGTCCATTCAATAGCAGTATGTATGTTCTGTACTTGCAGAGTGAGACCCATGATACAAACACACAATCAAAAATGTCGAAGGTCTTGCAGTAGGTCCACATGCTGTTTTCCTTTTACAAAAGGTGAACTCAAACCAGACAACCTAAGACCTCCAAGAGGAGACCCTGAGAGACCCCTCTCTTGAACTGGCCATCAATTTGGTACTTAGAGCAGCAATTTAATTAGCAGGAGCCCTGATGGTAAGTCTTACACTGCATCACAGGTAACTGTCCTTATTAGAGTTGTGGGAATAACAGATCTTCTAATTTGCAGGAAAGAAATGCGTGAAATGGTTAGCTAAACACAAAACAACTGCTTTGCTTCTGCTATTTATGAACCTTTTGCATACATTATTCCGTGAAGCACCATTCAGAATGCTGAAATTTAAACATACTGCCATTTAAAAACACTGAGATTATGTTCTTCACTTTCTTTTGTAATTTTCTCTAGTCAGAACCGTTTTTGCTTTTTAAAAATCTGGCATGATTTTAAACTGTTTGACCCAAACCTTGCATATGTTTGGTGAATAAAAAATCAAGCCTGAACTTTCCCCTACCCTGCCATGACCTAGAGATAAGGGCCATAAGTCAAGGATTCAAACATCCATGGCCTATGCTGTAGGGTGTAAGCCTTGCTAGTGAGATGGGCACATAAATGCTTATTCTGAGAATTGTATATGAAGATTTTGGCTTGGACTACCTCTGTGTGTAGCTATGTAGCCCTCAGTTGGCATCAGCACCTGCTCAGCACCATTCTTGCAGTGAGCTGTGGGAATCCTGTAATTTAGAGAGCTGCCAACAGAGTTGCTTTTGGTCATTAGGGGAAGGTGTGGATTCAGGCAGAAAAGGGCCTGAGTATCTGCGTGCTGGAGGATCTGTGTGGCTTGAACAGGTCCTGTTGGAGGCTTTGCAGTGCAGCAAGGCGTTCACCCCGGCTCTGCTGAGCTGCAGTCCCAGCTATGCATGTACATCATCAAGTAGCACACTGAAAATGAAAATAAATCCTCATAGATTCCCATCTGAATTTATCTTGAATATCTGGGGACTCTGGCACATGCATAAAATTGCAAGTCCTTCGACATATTTAAAAATCATTCTCTGAGGGCTTTATTAATGTCCCATGAGGCTCTAATGTGACTAACACTATGAATTTCCTTTTTGGGGATGGTCTGTATTTCAAAAAATAGAGAAGAGTTGCATATGTAATATTAATAAATGGTCCAACTCAATACCTAATAAGGCTCAACTTTCCTTTCCTAATTTTTCTTTTTAACAAAGTAGGCTCCTATCTAAAATCAAAAGTAAAACTTATTTGTAACACACATCCTACTTTTCCTTTCTTTCAACATGTCTTTGTGCCAGCTGGCTGTTATTGAACTAAAAGAAGGTTGTGGGCTTGGCAGTGAACTTCTGGAGGTTAACTCAGGCAGTAGGTTGCAAGCATATAGAGAGCGCATAGAAAAATTCTGGATTTGCTGTGTGTATTTGAAGAAAATGCAGCATCTAATGGCAACTGTGTGGTTGTAAAGTCAAAAGAATGGACTCCCAGATTCATGACAGCAATAGCTGCAATGCAAAAGGATAGTAATTTTCTATAGGACATGTGTTTTATTGTCTTATGTCAGTGTGAAAGATGGGAAGCAGAAATATATCACAAGGGACACAAGGCTTGTTTAGTAACTTGAAGTTCAGCCCAAAGACTGGCACTGGGCTATCAGTCAGCAGCTGGTGGCAGTGGGGCTCTGCTCCATGCCCATGGATTATGCTGGGCTCTCTCAAAGCACAGAGGAAAGCAGAAATACCAGCAAAGAAACATGCAGTAACCATTGTCTGTTCTTTTACATAAGTAGCCAAAGATTAACTGAGAAAAAGCCATAGAGCTTTGTATCCACACATAATGTTTTTGCTTATATCCATTCCCTTAACATGAGAGCACTAGTGATGCCTTTTGTTATTTAAAAGGTAATCCACATAAGCTTCTCCTCCGCATTGTTGCTGTATTCTTGTACACTGAATTATCCTGTTTTAAGGAAAATGGTGGGAATCTCTGAGTTTATTTGGTCAGTAATAATAAAAGGAGGTGCTGAAAGAAAAAAAGAACCTAATTGCAACACTGTCATTTTTACCCTTTGCATAAACACTTAGGGGAGGTGAATGAAGATACGATGTTTAGTTAAGCAGTTATAGGCAAATGCTTTGATTATGTAGGGAATTGAATTAAGACAGGCACATTGCTTTGCACTTGGGCAAAAGGAGGGATCCTAGCAGAAGCAACGCCACAAATAAAGTACAATGCCAAAATCAGAAAGGCAGAGATGGGATCAAGACATAGACTGGGATAGATAATGGAAAGATCAGAAAGATGTGACATGAAATGCAGATGGAAGATCAGTGGAATAATTCAAAAGTTAGAAAGACAAGATGAAAGGAGCAGGAAAGAGTAATTTTACTATTTACATTTAAAGCAGAAGCAAAACAAGTGGCTCTGGTAGTGATCTCAAGGGATTGTCTAGTCCACCTCCCCTCCTAAGGCAGAATGAACTGTGTTTAAATCAAGTCTGACAGATGCTTGTCTAACCTGTTTGTAAAGCCTTCCTGTATTGTGGATTCCAAAGTCTTCCTGGCTTACTGCTTTCTCAGCCCTTCTATTAGGCAGATTTTCCTATTAGCAATCTGTATTGCCTCCCCCACAGTAGACACAGCTGTCAATTTATCCCCCTTCTCTTTGCAGCAGCCTTTGTTGGACATGAAAGCTGTTACCATTTCACCCTTTTCTTCTCTAGATAAAAGTCCCAAATCTTTCCCTGCAACTTGTGCTTCTGAGAGTGGCAATCTTTCTCATGGCTTTCTTCTGATCTTTCTAGGCTAAACTGCTCCAATTGTTAATTAAAAGTATGTTGCTGAAACTGAATGCAGTACTCTTGCAGACATCTTACCAGATACTAGAAGGATTGCTTCACTTGTGTCACACATCACACATAATCCTGCTGTCACATTTGTCTTATTCACAACACAGCTGATTCATAGTCAACCTGTGATGCATTAAGATGATGAGTGCTTTAACAAGTAGCGTGTGTGGCAACAGGAGCCATGATGTGGAGTGCAACAGCTGATGCTGAGCTCATGATTTTCACACTATCCATGTGTCAGAGATTACCACCTTGGACTAATTCTACTTAGCTAGCTAGCAGGTGCAGTGCATTTGAGTCCACCTAAAACATGTCTTCTGGCTGAGATTTTGTGGAAAGGAATCTAGTTTCATATGTTCCAAGAGCTCTCTGCATATAAAGCAAAGCTTGAAAAGTGACGATCTGCTTCTACATCTCATCAGAACAGAAATACTAGTGCAATGGCATCCTGTTACACCCAATCCTTTAATTGGACTGCTCCCACGCCACTTGTTCCATCCTTGATTTCTGCAGTGTTTTCCAACTCAGAGCTGCATTGTGCAGTCCCTGTTGCATAGCACCATATTTTTTCAAACTGTAGCTTCGATTTGCCAAGATCATTTTGATTTCCAAGCCTGTCCTCTAACGTGCTTGCAGCCCTTTTCAACTTTGTCAGATTGTCAGCTTTCATGAGTATAGTGTCTATTCCAGCATCTATTCCAGCCTTTTAATTAAATTCTGGAACAGGACTTTTGCCACGAGAGACTCCCTGTATATCTACAGTAAATGCAGTCTTCTACTTTGATAATATTTAGTGGAGAGACTGAAAAATGTTTCTTTTGTTATTTCCACAAAACTTTACCTTATATAAGGTTAATCTGAACTGCATTTTCCTAGTTTGCTTTTGATTTTTTTTCCTGACATATAACATACTAAAAACTTTGCTCATGCCAAGTTGTATTCCCAAGACCTATTGTCCTTTTATAAGAGGAAACAAGGTTTGTTTGAAATGATTTACTCTTGATTAATCCTTATGCCTATAACCTGTTTCTTTCTTAGGTTCTATTTGCTTCCTCTACTTGTTTGAGAATTGTATTTAAATTGATTGGGCCGTAATCCCGCACCTCCTCTTTCTTGGTACATTTAAAGATAGCTGTTATTCTTGCTTTTTCAGTCTTTTAAAACTTTACCTCTTGCACACAATTCTTAAAGATAGTTATTTACAACTGTGGAGATGCTTCAGTTTTCTCTTGAACAGTGTGAGGTGAATTCCATCAGGCTCATTGATCTCAGGTCATTTAACTCACCTAAGCAAGGCCTAATCTCTTTCTTCTGTCATTTAGCGACAATTTCCAGCTCTTCGCTACTGATATAAACCCTTTTATCACGGTTGACCCTTCTAGTGAACAAAGAGCAAAATAGACATTACAAAGTTGGCTTTCTTGGAGTTGTTAGTCAACGGCTTTCTCTCAGTTGAGTGGTGGATCAATTCTCTCCTTGATTTTTCTTCCACAGTTCATGTTTTTATAGGAAACTTCTTGTTATTCTGTATGTACCTTACTAATTATGTTTCTTTTTGTGCTGTGTCTTTTCAAATCTTACAAATATATCAGCACAATTCTGTGCTTGTCCATAGATTTTGGTTTCCGTATGCTATTGGATTTTGAAGTTTTGGAAGAACTGACAGCTCCAGCTGCATGGCTTACTTCAGCCCTTGCTCTGCATTGCAATCTTTATGTCTCTACTTTTAACAGTCTCTATAAGCAGCTGCCAAATCTCCTGACCTTATTTTCTCCTCAAATTATACTTCTCATGGAATATCACCTTCCCACCTTCAGAGTCTAGTCTACTCTGCTTATTATTCTGCTAGGTGGACAGATCCATTTTTGAGCACTTGATGTTTCCTGGTGGCCTGTGCTGGCTCCCAGCTGTGACAGACCCTCTATATTTTTCCCTCTATCATTTTCCAAAATGTTCTACTGGGATTATATTCTTTTATCTTTTGACTCAGGGCAAAAATTTAGAAGACAAAGCAGGATATAAGGACTGTGAGAAGTGGCCGAAGTATTGCCAGGAATTTGATCCGCTGCCATGTAAAAGAAAGCTTTATAAGTAGGTTATGGTATTGCCTACTGTAGGAACTAGTCCCAAGATTTACAGTGCTGATCCATTTATCTTTTTTTTTCCCCTCCCTTTTTAAACTCATTGTCAGAATCATAATCCCAAAGGTGGACATAAGGATTAAAAGGAGAACAAATATTATGGGAGCATAACTTTAAAAAATGAAATTTCAAAGGCCTTCTTTCTAAGTAA